ATGGGAAGGGAGAAGAGCAGGAGAATGGTCACTGGGAAGCCCTCAACAGCTCCTGCCCTACCAAGTGAACCCCAAGAGTGGGCATAGAGGTGGCCAAATGTTGTTCATCCTTTGTCGTTAAATATAATTGTTTTCATTTTGACCATTACGTAGTCAACCACACACTCATGCACAGCCCAGCTCCAGATGTTGTGGGAATAGAAGAAGGCAGGAGAGAATATTGATTAAATGCAAAGTGTCTGTTGTTTTTAAGTTAATAAATGAGCGCCACCAAATAGTATTTATCCTTGTGCCAAAGATAGTGTTTTTAAAATCAACATACATTTATTGAACATCTATCATGAGTAAAACAGACCTAGGTGTGAATAGTGGTTTGTACAGCCAAACAGACCTGTTTGTACTCGCAGGCTGTATGACCTTAGGCAAATTGCTCAGCCTTTCTAGGTGTCGATTTCCTCATCTCCAGATTGGGCATAAAAATAGTAGCATAGTGCTTTAGATTATAGCGTCTGGGGTTATTTGTCCTCAGATGAAGTGGCCCAGACTTGTGTTGTCCAGTTTTATTCTTCCCTTTTCTCTTCACTCTTGAAAGAATGTTTATTCTGCTCGAATTCTCTGAAGCTTTAAAGAGGGTAAAGATTATGTGAATTAGAAGAAACTCCTGCCATTATCCCTAATTCTTCACTTTGTGTGCTGTTCAGATTCCATTCCCTTTTTGAGTGTGTGTCCATTTGTCTACTCTGGGGTAAAGTAGATGGAGTCTGTGATTGGCTTTTCTTTGGCTCTGCCCCTCAGGCATGATTTGCAGCTTTGCTCTGGACGGCTGAGGTCTGATCACTGTACCAAGGTAACATTATGACACTAGTGTTATCATTACTCGTAATGGTTAAAAAAAAAGAATTATTTCTATAACTGGTATTGCTGGTGTTAACTAATAATAGTACAATTTTGTGGCCGTAGAGAAATTTCCATGTGACATGGTGAATGTCTGTATTGATAACCATTTATAATTATAAATTATAGTTATTTGTGTGCTTTTCTGTCTTCAACCTGATTGTAAGCATTATGGGATACATGACCTTGTCTTATGAACCTTTATATAGTTCTCACATTATACAGTACAGCACATAGCATGTAGTCGGTGCGTATTATTTTTTTGGATTAATGAATAAGTCCCACAGATAGTATTTATCTTTGTGCCAGAGACAGTGTTTCTAAAATTAATATACATTTATGAAGCCACTGGCATGAGAAAAGAACTGTGTGGAAGAGAAAAAGATGATATAGACCTGTCCTGAGTTTTTTCCTGAGGCTGCCAGAGGCATTGGTAGGGCCAGCTCTCACAGTCTCTGATAAGCCACAGTCTCACAGTCTCTAGTAGCATTTTAGACTCTATTCTGGAAGCAGTGCAGAGCCATGGAAGGTTTGAAAGTTGCGAGTTCAAGAGCAGATTTTCATTTTATAAAGCCAGGTCTCTGTTCTCAGCTTAAGTCTCAGGAATATTATTCCCAAATGGGAGTCTTCTATTTAGGCTTGGTGATTAGATATACTATACTAATTGATGCCTATTATAATCATGAGTTGTTAGCAATATCCTTTGTTCGTGAAGTCAGAGAATTATATAGTCCATTTTAGAAAGATGTGAATCAAAAATAGTTTGAAAAGTTTAGGCATATGTAAACCTACCAATCTCATTAAACATTTACAGTATTATAGAAGATAGTGCAGGCAAGCAAGATATTGACCTTGTAGAGTTTATAAATTTAGCAAGAGTGGTTGGTCAGCTGTATAATATGATGTCAAAAGAACAGAAGTGGTAGAGCATTGTCTAACTTGCTGATAGTAGTAGGAATGGTGGTTAGGAATTAGGAGAAAGTGATGACAGATTTCATTTTCTAAGCTTGGGTCTTTAGGAGACACAGCCTGGGGCAAGGATTGAAATGTCCGATACCTTCCTTGCTAGGTGTAGACCCAGGGTGGTGAGAATGAGGACAAACTGAAGCAAGGCAAGGATGTGAAGCAAAGTGAAATGGTGTGTTATTGTACTTGCCATCACTTCACCAAGAGCTGGAGAGAGACAGTAGCAGGTTGCCTGGCAGGGATATTTGCATGGCTTATAGGCACGTGGGCTGCCTGACTTGGGGAGAGAAAGGAGGGGAAATGCATCTGCTTATCTTCTTTCTCCTCTTGTCTCTCACTGGTTCACCCCAAGGGAGGTAACTCCCTTGCACTTTCAGGTTGCATCATCTAGTTCCTTACTTTGCCACTTGGGATGCTAGATTCCAAGTCTTGTGGTGCGGTGTTTTATTCTAGCCCAGATGTGGCAAGACCCAGAGGGCCTGGCGTTCCCAGGCAAGTGACTGAGTGATCTCCTGTACCAGAGGTGGGTGGCATTTTTGGAAGGAGGGAGATAGGGGACTCCAAGGAGGTACATGAGGCTTGTATTCAGTACGATCCTGAAGGACAGATAGGATTCTGACAGGGATGATAAAGATGATAGAGGAAGACATTTTAAAATGAGCAGCGACATAGAGGAAGAAACATGTGTGCTGCATTTAAGATAAAGCAAGTGCTACATTGGCTACAATGGAGATATGACAATTGCTTGTGCCAGATTTTTTTGGCTTATAAATGAATTCTTGATTTTTTTTTCCCCTTTAAAAGTTACGCTAAATATATAACTAAATGTTTATTCCTTTGTTAGATTGTTCCCATGAATAAATGAACCACCTGGAAAAAATCCTTTGTCAGGCCATTTCTTACAGATGTATAAATAGGTGAAGGAAGAGGCTGGAAATGGAGGACTCCAAATGCTAGGCTGTCCTTGATTCAGCCAACACAGGGTCAGGAGGATCTTGAGCAGGAAGTGGGGTGTGTGAGAGTGAGGCGGAAGGACAAACTGAAGCAAGGCAAGGATGTGAAGCAAAGTGAAGTGGGGTGTGTGAGAGTGAGGCGGAAGGATGGTGAGGTTTAAACCACTCCCAGTAGTTCAGTCTTGTTTCTCTTGAAGTAATCTGTATGACTCAGTGGTCTGTTTTCACTCTTCATCATTCATCTTTTCTTGATAGCCTCACACAGACTTTCCTTTTTGATATATCGATAGCAATAGCAACATGAGCAATAACAAGAACAAGCATCATAACCATGGCTCATTCATATTTCTGCTCTAATGTCATTCTCTGACCACCAGTCTAAACTAGCATCTTCCTACCCCGATTATCCCCTTATTGCTTTATTGCTTTAATGGCTTCAATTGTTAGCTGACATCATATTATATATCTGCTCATTTCGTTGTTTTCTGCCTATTTACATTACCAGAACAAAGCTTAATGAACACAGAGAATTTGTCTTTCCTGATCCGTCATTGCCAGTGCCTGGCATTGTACTAAGCACTGTATTGTATTCTGATTTTGTTTCACTGAGGTCAGAGAGTGTGTGGACTATATGGTGCTGATTCTTTGTAATGGGGATTAGTTCATTGCCGATTTTGCAAGTATCTCGTGTGTGCCTGAAAGGAGATGAGTTTTTAAATTTGTTGGTGTAATATTTAATTTATATAGATTAGTTCAAGATAATTTTTCAGATCTGTAATTGCATTGCTAAAATCTATATCCTTTTAGTGTTCTCTATACAGCTGTGGAAGATGGTAGATTTAATGTGATATAAGCTTACTCCATTGTCATTGGAAGCTGAGGTTTTATTCTTGAGTTTTTAATCTCAATAATTACATCCCCCCCCACCCCCCAGAAATTCTATTTGGTTGCTCTCAAACCAGCATTATGTTTTTAAAGACAATATCCTGTTTTTACTTAATGTTTTCTATTCCTTTGTTTATGATTATAATCATTTAAAATATACTTATTTTATAGTTTGAATTCTATTAGATTATATGAAATTCTCAGGGGTGTAATTTCACTATATGTTATTTGCTGACTCTGTTTGCCTTTGCTTCTGCCAGATGCCCCAAGAGAGTATTAGCAGCTGAGGACCAATTTTTATGTTAATTTCTTGGCTTTAGAATTTCTGAGGCCATATAGGTATTGCATATTTGAATCCCAAATGTGAGCAAAGACATATGGTTACAAACTATGAAAGAAGATATTTTTTTCTCTACTCAGAGTTCAGACCTATATAGATAAGCTTTCTTGTCATTTCGTTTACTCGTGAGTGAATGCATGGGCTCAGTGTCTTGGCTCTTGTTTCCATGAGGCCATTAAAGCCGGTTACTGAGACTAGCACAGTCCCCTAGGGCAGCTGAGAAATTAGCACCTACTATCCACTTTGAATTTCAGTTTTCTTTTTGTATTATCCTTGGGGATTTGCCTTATTTTCTTGTGGGCTCAGCTGGGCATGTGTGAAGATATTTGTATACTTTATTCAACATTTTTAGGTGTTTTTATGCAAAAGTTATCAAGTTGTCCAGTTCTGCATAATTCCAGAAATAAAAGTCTTAACTGACATAATTTACATTGATAGTTTATAGTAAGACTTAATAAATGTTATTAATTATTAAATTTCATCATCTATATTATTATTTCCACAAATATATAAAACCCAAACATTTGGATTATAATATGTATAATAGATTATTTTTATATATCATATATAAAATATAATAGATTATATATAATAGATTATAAAGCTTTATGATAATTGGTCTAAAACCAAGTGTATGGTTTTTATATGGTTACTATGTAGATCATGCTTTAAAAATGCAATAAAGCCTGGCCTATTGAAGTAGTTGAAACCATATCACTCTTTTCGCAATTACAGGTTCCCCTGACTTAAAGCAACAAACACAAAAACAAAAAAACCTCCTAGTTCCTCAAGGAAACAAGAAAATGCGGCTTTGTAGCTTTTAAACATTTAAAAGTATGTCTATGAGAGTATATATTTATATGTGAATTACTTCACATATACCCATATATATTATTTATATTAGTATCTAAAGTTTTTACATTTTGCATGAATTTGCATCTTTTTTTTTTGCCTTTTTGTAGGAGGATACTTCACCGAGACTTGAAATCAAAGAATATATTTCTGAAGAATAATCTACTTAAAATTGGTAAGATTTTTTAAAGTATGCATTCCAAAAACATTGAAGAGTATATTCTTGATGTTATCAACATATTGAGTTGAAGTATATAGTATCTAGAAGTGTTAGAGTAATCATTGGTTTATTTAAACTTCTCAAATTATTGTTCTTATTTGATTGGGGCCAACAAAACCAAATTATTTTGTTTCTCATTATCTGACATAAACTAAGGTATAAGACACTTCCTGCTTACTTTGTTGATTCAACTAATATTTTTTGAGTTTCTGCTCCATGCCAGACACTTTGCAAATGGTTAGACTTGTTTAACTAGTTTAATTAATTACTACAGTTTCCCCCCACCCCCACCCACCATTATTTTCTCACAGGCAATTAGCAGTTATCACAGTTTATGAAAATGTTGACATAATGGCTTCATTAATCTTTAGCTCTCCTTCAGAACTGTACCTCCACTCATAACAGTTACTGGATTATTTAATCTTCATGTAAGATGTTTTTAGAGACAAAAGGCATAAAAGCATGTAACTAGTCAGGCAAGTAGAGAGAAGCTGATGGATTCAAATTTTTATAGTCAAGTTCTCAAAAAGTCTCAGGCATTTTATTTAAAATTTTTTCATCACTGTAAATGAAGAACGAATTCTCCCTTCTCAGATGAAATTGCCAATCATTATATTCAGCCCTTCCAAAATCATTCTGTTTGTTGTTATTCAGACTTGAAATATCTTTTTGTTTCAAGTTGTTGGTTCTTCACAATTCCAGAAATAAAAAGCTTTGGTTTACATAATTCAAAATCTTCTTTCTCTTATAAAGCTTATGTTTTTAAAGCCATTACCAGCATTATATAATTTAAAATACATCATTTTTTTTAAATGGTATTAATCAATGCATATTAAAATTATCAAGGTGGATACTCAGTTGTTAATTTTCAGGGCTGGTTTTCATTGTTTTAAAATACTTATAAAATTAAATTGTTATTTCAAGGAGATTTTGGAGTTTCTCGACTTCTGATGGGATCCTGTGATCTAGCCACCACTTTAACTGGAACTCCCCATTATATGAGTCCGGAAGCTCTGAAACACCAAGGCTATGACACAAAGTCAGACATCTGGTGAGTGGGCAGTGGGCTAGTCCAGATGACTTATTCATCTGCTACCCTGGGAGAATAATGCATTTTGGTTTTAGGCTCATTTACTTACTTCATCTACTGACATTATTCCTTTGAAATATGAATAACTCTGTGACTAGAGTAAAAGGTTTTTTCTTTGGAACTTGATGAATTCCATTAAATTGACTTCAGAAAGTCCCTTTATTCATAGATTAATTTGTTGGTTTGGAGCTTTTCTTCTTGAGCCACAATGAAAAGTTCTTAATGTATCATAAACACTAAATTTTAATAGGTTTCTGCTAACCTATTAAAACATTTGTAATCCTAAGCACTGTGCTTTACTTTGTTTTAAGATTAACTTCCACCTTTTTGGGGAAATGAACAGCTCTTCATTATATTTTTTTCCTGTTGCTTTTAAGAATTTTTGCTAAAGATATTAGCTTTGAGGGTAAACTTAAATTTAAAACATTCTGGGTTTTCAGTAATAAATTCATTTGCTATTCTTCAGTTTCTTTGAGCTCTTGAACCAAAGAAATTTCTCCATCTTCATCATGGAACCAGTTTAAATCTCAGTGCAGAAGCCATGTGGAAATTTGTATTCTATTGTTAACAATAGATCTTGTTTGGGGAAAATTTCTTTCCCTTTAAAGAAGAATCTTACATAATTTGTAGTTAAGTGTTGAAAGGACAAACTAGCTGAGAGCTTGTTAATTAAGTAAACAGTTAGTGTATGTAACTCAAGTAGTTCTGAGCTTTCAAAGATGAGTCGTGTGAAAGATTATGCCCTCTTCATTTTTCTAAAGAAGATAAAGTTGAAAGTTACCTCTTCTCTGATTATGGAAAAGTAAATACAACGGGAATAGGCCTTGGGATTTCCATAAGGATCATGACTCCTGCTTTTGTTCCGGTGTCCAAGTGGGAGAGAACACTGTCAAGACTGGGTCTGGCTATGGCACATTCCCATCCATCCTGTCCCTTCAGTTCATATTTGTGATTATTCATTCTTAGGGTCTTCAGTGGAGGTTTTCATTGTTAGCTTGATTCTGCCCTGGTGATTTTTTCCAATTCACTTACCATCTTTCCTCTAATAAAACCTTCCCCATCCCCTCCAAAACAAAACAAAAACAAAACAAAACAAAAAAATAGAAAAAAAATACAAAGGTATATTTAAGGAATGAGTTTCTTTAAATTTTGCTTTATGGAACATCTACTATTTGCCAGCGATTACAGAAAATCAAAAGTGAAAGGATTTCTGCGCCTCAGAAGAGATCTTCTTGTTCTTTTTGGAGTACCTTTCAACACATTGAGAAAAATTAGTTCTTGGGTTTTGGATTGAATATGAGTTGCATACCTACATCTCTCTTCACACTTAATTTTTAAAAATTGTTATGGGCATTTAAAAATAGATTCAAATATATAATTTCTTCATGATTGGAGATTACCTAGTCTCCCCAGATGATGTTACATCATCTCTTTTGAATTAAGAGTAAATTAATTTGTGAAGCCTAGCATTTAAGCCTTTGGAATTACATGTAGCAAGAAAGCTAGCTCTTTTTGACATGTATCTACATTCTGCTTGACAAATCAGCTGTATGTCTTGTGGGAAACAGGCAACAGAACCCACAGAGAGGACTAAAGCATAGTATCTTTTTGTTGCAGTTGTATGTCTTCTTTTTTAAAGAACTGCTCCTACTATTGTGTAAAGAATTACAGGAATATCAGAAAGTATTGCTTATAATGGTTTAGGCTTACAAAAATGATATATGACTAAAGCAAAATGAACTTTATCTGACTAAGACAAAACTTTAAAAAGCCAAAATTTCCCAAATATAACAATGCCGGAGAATTTTAATGTATTTTTTGCAAGCATCAGGTCAGTCTCCTTGTGGAGATTATTAGCTATTCAGCAGGTACAAGCTAAGGATTTATCATTGTCCTGACTCCAAATAACTACCTTATTATGAATTTAGTAATTACCTTGGTTATATCTGAATTAAAACAAGCTTATCTGGTAATGAAATTTCTACTGCCAAGCCTAAAGTGGAAAGAATAACATAGAACTATTAATTATACTGGAAGACACATAAGTGTGATGAGTAATAATTGGGAGACACTCTTAGAAAAATTGGATAAGATGGGGTTGAGAATTTTTCTCTGAATTTCAGTATGTAGCATCTGTTTACTGTAAAATACTCTCAGGATTGGAAGCACTTGTGAATAACTGACAGGTGTTTTGCTCTAGGACTAATAGCTATACATATTACATTTATAATGCTTAAAGAATAAGTGGTATATTATTCATTATATTTTCATCTGTTAATGTTTGCCAATTTGTGACTTTATCCTCTTCCTTCAATCTGTTAAACCACTTAGGATTCATTTATTTATAGCAACCAAATAGAGGAAGTCTCTCTCTTAAAAGTGAGCTAGGTTCTAAAAATTTGTAAATAGTTATTTAGAAAGTTAGGAGGATTAGGTTCTCTGAGGATAATAGTTGGAACATGGTTGATTTGTATAAAAAACTGGTGAACACTCTTTTTCTCCCACAAGAAAAATATATGAGTTGAGTTCCTCGGCTAGCTCTATAAATTGATTGAACTATTAATAGTCAGACTTTATTATTTTGATAGAGAAACGAAGAAAGATTGGAATAATGGTACTGTCAACATAATATTTCATTGTTAGTCTTATCTATCTTGTTGCGAGAGGTCAATTATGTAGCTCTTCGATCTTGTGGTCCTATATTCTTTGAGCAATGTAAGTGGAATGAATGGTAGTGGGAATAGTAAGAGTGTCAGAGTGTACTGTGAAGCTGTCAGCATTTTGTTCAGAGATTTGGTATGCGGGTGGCTGGGTAGGGGACATGGGACTTTCCTTTTCTCTCACCTCATATTCAGTTATTAATGGTGTGCTATTAATTCTACTGCCTAGAAATCTTTTCAACCAACCTTCTCTTCTAAACTTCTTCTCCCATTGTCTTTGCCTTTGCCCCTATCATTTTTCTTCTGGAATTCTTCAATATCTTTCCACTTTCTCTAGCTTCCTACATTTAATCCATCATCCACAATACAACCAGAGTAAAATTTGTAAAATAAGGACCTAATTATTTGACTTCTCAGCTTTAAATCCTGCCATTACCAAGAAAGTCATGCACAACCACCTTTGCATGGAAAGTAATCCTTGCTTCTTTCCAGCTCCCCTCTCCTGCTACTTTCTTTCCACATGCATCAAGAACTCCAGAAAACAAGCCCATTTTCTGCTGAAGGATTTAGGAAAGGGAGAAGAAATACAGGCCAACCTGGCAGCAGTTCCTATAGCTAATGTGGGGCCTGCAAGTAGCTGGTAGCCAACAGTTCCATCAACTGCTTCTTGGTGAGGGAAGCTCTGGAGCAAGAACGCCCATTTCCCTTACCTGCCCATGATCTGGTCAGTTTTTGTGTGGGTTCAGAAGCAAGCTGTTGAACAGGGGACTGATGTCATTATTTTCACTCAGTAGGAGCTGAAGTAGGAAAATATTTTAGTCAAGTGTAGTAGATTTGGGTATTAATATCTTTTTTCAATGATTATTATAAAATAATTGATATAAATTCTGCATATAATATCAGTCTGGTCTAGTCAATTATTTAAAAGGTTATAATACAACCACAGCAACAGAATCAGAAATAGCTATTCTCTGTGGAGTGCTTACTCTGTGATTGACAGTTAGTGTGCTAATAAGTGCTTTATGTACCTATCCACGTACCTATTTGTTACTCCAAAAAATAATCATACTATATACGATTTTATAAACCTGTTTTATTTCACTAGCAGAATGAAACATTGTTCTGCATCAAGAAATTATATGTACATATCATAAATTTTTGTATAGTATTCTATATCTGGACACAATAATTTATTTGAGACTTTAAGGTTTTCTATCAAGATTTTTTTCTTTGTCATTGTCTTTTAGCAACTTTACCGCAGTATATCTGGGTGTGATTTGCATTTGTCATACTTGTCCTTAGTTGAGCTTCTTGGACATGTAGATTAATATATTTCATCAAATTTGGTTAATATTCAGCCATTACTTGAGTATTTATTCTCCTCCTTTCTCTCTCTCCTCTCTTTTTGGTATTCCCATTATGTGTATGTTGGTCTACTTCATGGTCTCCCATATTTCTCTGAGGTGTTGTTCATTTTTCTTCATTCATTTTTCTCTCTTCTTGAAAATGCATATTTGTCAATCTATCTTCAAGTTCATTGATTCTTTCTTCTGCTAGTTAAAATCTAATTTTGAGCCCCTCTGGTGAGTTTTTTTTATTTCAGTTATGTACTTTTCAATATATTATTCAATACTGTACTTTCCAGGATTTCTATTTGGTGGTTTTTATAATTCCTATCTTTTTATTGATATTCTCCATTTTTTTATTTTCCAGTACAGCCATGACTTTATTCTTTTGTTTTTTAAAATAATTTTTTGTTTTTTAATTACAGTTGACATGCAATATTATATTAGTTTCAGGTGTACAATATAGTGATTAGACACTTCTATCACTTATGAAGTGATCACCCCGATAAATCTAGTACCCATCTGGCACCATACATAGTTATTACAATATTACTGACTATGTTCCTTATGCTATACTTTATATCCCCATGACTATTTTATAACTACTAATTTGTACTTCTTAATCCCATTCCCTGTTTCACCCACCCTCCCACCACCCCTCCCATCTGTCAACCATCAAAATGTTCTCTGTCACTATGAGTTTGTTTCTCTGTTGTTTGTTTGTTTATTTTATTCTGTAGGTTTCTCATGTAAGGGAAATCATATCGTATTTGTCCTTCTCTGTCTGACTTATTCCACTCAGCATGACACCCTATAGGTCCATTCATGTTGTTGTTGATGGCAAGATTTCATCCATTGATGGACACCCAGGTTGCCTCCATATCTTAGCTATTGTAAATAATGCTATAATGAACATATGGATTCACATGTCCCTTTGAAGTAGTGTTTTAGATTT